CACAATTGAGCAAAATAAAATAAACAAGAAATAAAGACACCGAAAAATTTACGAGGATCAACAAAATCGTGTGCTTACATTCTAGGAAAGATATTGCTTTTTACTATAAAAATATTAAGTACAAGATATACTTGAGTTAACATAACACAAACAGAAACCCTTGTACAGACTCTCACATTATTTTCCAAAAACTCTACTCTCTCCCAAAAGATCTTTCTCTCTTACTCTTTGATTTTATCTCACCCCGTGTTCGACTTCGAATGTTTACCAAATGCACAGACATTGCATCTGGGTATAGACGTACACCGGCAATTCATTGAATTGACGCCAACAACTAAGACCAAATCAGTCTTTTTGTTCACACGCAATACTCAAAGCCTTTGTTGTACGTAGCCTATAGCGTGCAGCTCTTTTCTCATTGCCATTTATTGCGTCCACAATTGCGTGCAAACCCACAAAGTCAAGACCTACCAACTTTGCTTGAATCATGTCTTCTCTTTGAAGACTTCCACGCCACAACACCAATACTAGTTGAACTTCGATTGTTGTATAACACAATATACATAGATAACAAATACATGAGCTAATCCACATTTTGATGAACTTTGTAAATTTCTCGTTGTTTTTAATTTTTTTGTGTATTTTATTCTGCTCAACTATGGTTCGTATTTTGGTGAGGTTATAAATTTCTTGCTGTTTTTATTTTTTTTTGTCTATTTTATTCTGCTCAACAATAGTTTGTATTTTGATGAGGTTGTGTCCGAATCTCGATTCTGAACAAATTGGAGACTTGAGAATCAAGTATATACTCTTTGTCATCAATATCATTAGGCCTGGCAAATGAGTCGTATTTGTCGTGTTCATGTCATTTTCCTGTAACACCTATTATCTTAATAGGTCATGTCATGTCACACCTGTTATCTTAACAGGTCCTTAACAGGTTGGGTCACTTTACCCAAGTGACCCAACCCGATATGACCCGTTAAGAAAAAAAAATATATTTTTCTTAAATTTGCACATACCACACATTGCTACATAAATATGACTTCAAAACATTAAAAAACATTTGTCGTTTAAGTACTACATTTACACTCGAAAATAAGAGCCTAATAAACAAACATCCATACACTACTAGTCTATTACAAAATATTAAATGTGCAAGGATATGCAAAATGAAAGAGTTTTTGTTTTCAAAGTTGTGAAGCCTTTCTCAAAAGTTTAAACCTTGTCAATGAAACTCAAAGCTTGCATGTTATTCCTTTTACAAAATCCTCAACTTTCATTAAGTATAGCATAAAATTTTGTGGTATCCACTAGTGTAATATTTTAAATTGAAGATCGAGTTCATTCATTATATTCATATAGGGTCAAGGAGTGTAGCTGTAAAAAATCATTAAAATCGGAGTTCAAATAACGGTTAAATCGTGATTTTTCGTTGATAATTGCCGAAAAGTTTTGTCCTGTTACTTGATCTTTGAATGTTCGTATTTTGCAATTTTTGGCATATGCGATCTCGAAGTATATACAAACATCTTTGACGGTTGGATCGTTGAAACTAGTTTCGTAGAATGCGTATCTCATCAAAACAATAGATTCACTAACATTTAATAGTTTATTTATACTTTCATTAAGTATAACATAAGATTTTGTGGTATCCACTAGTGTAAATATTTTAAATTGAAGATCGAGTTCATTCAATGTATTCATATAGGGTCAAGGAGTGTAGCTATAAAAAATCATCAAAATCGGACTTAAACTAACCGTTAAATCGTGATTTTTTGTTGATAACCGTCGAAAAGTTTTTTCCGCTACTTGATCTCGAGATGTTTGTTTTTTGTGATTTTTGGCGTATGCGATTTTGAAGTATATACGAACATGTTTGACGGTTGGATCGTTGAAATTAGTTTTCGTAGAATGCGTATCCCATCAAAACAATAGATTCACTAACACTTAAGAGTTTATTCATACTTTCATTAAGTATAACATAAGATTTTGTAGTATCCACTAGTGTAAATATTTTAAATTGAAGATCGAGTTCATTCATTATATTCATAAGTGTCAAGGAGCGTAGCTATAAAAAATCATCAAAATCGGAGTTAAAATAACCGTTAAATTATGAATTTTGGTTGATAACCGTCGAAAAGTTTTTTCCCATTACTTGATCTCTGAATGTTTGTTTTTTGCAATTTTTGGTGTATGCGATCTCGAAGTATATATAAACACGTTTGACGGTTAGATCGTTGAAATTAGTTTTCGTAGAATATGTATCCCATCAAAACAATAGATTCACTAACACTTAAGAGTTTATTCATACTTTCATTAAGTATAACATAAAATTTTGTGGTATCCACTAGTGTAAATATTTTAAATTAAAGATCGAGTTCATTCATTGTATTCATATAGGGTCAATGAGTGTAACTGTTAAAAATCATCAAAATCAGAGTTAAGATAACCGTTAAATCATGATTTTTCATTGATAACCGTTGAAAAGTTTTGTCCCGTTACTTGATCTCTGAATGTTTGTTTTTTGTGATTTTTTGTTGATGCGATCTCGAAGCATATACAAACAAGTTTAACCGTTGGATCGTTGAAATTAGTTTCGTAGAATTCGTATCCCATCAATTTCAATGGTGTGTGTATATATATATATATATTTATTAAGTAGATTTTAAATTTATTTATTTTGTACGTATAACACTTAAGAAATTGAATGGTATGTATATTTAAGCCGATCTAATGTTCACCAATATTATATATTTAATATATATATATAATTATTATAGTATTTTTTTAGGATTATAAAATTAATATTTTGCTTATCGTGTATCATGTTACCCACATGTATACCCGAACAAACCCGTTATCTTAATAGTTGCTTATCGGGTTAGCCAATAGCGACCCGACTCGTTATCGTGTCGACTCGAATACCAATTAATTTTGTTTTGTGTCATGTTGGATTATCGAGTTGTGTCAAGAATTACCAGGCCTAAATATCATGAGTAAAGTTACAATAAGGGACAGAATGGATTGAGGCTCAAGAAACTTGGCTATTCTCTGATTTGTTTTTTATTTTTTATTTTGAATTGTTTTGATTTTTAAACAATTATTATTATTATTTCCAAAAAATTTGCTGACTATTGGGATCGGAAGGCTAGGATGGAGCCACATGGCAAACATCCTTGGAAATAGTTGCTGAACTTTGTAAGCGGGTCCCACACATTCTTTTACGCAAGTGAGCATCAAATTGGGGCAGCTCATGGCTGACGTCAGCCTGACGTCAGCCAAAACAATCTGGCTTGGGGCTAAAATCGCCAAGGATCCAAACCACCAAGGGCATGGAAAGATGGGTGGATAGGGTTTTAGAGTGCATTTATCTCCATAATCGCTATAAGATGTTGCATCTGATTTTTATCAATTAGGATGAAAGCATATCTCTTTTTTTGGATGCAATTTAAATGAACAAACTTTGTCAAATCCGTTAACGATGAAACTTTTGAGCAGGGAAACGAGGGAAGTTGGTGAAGGGTTGGATATTTAAGTACCTTAGCTTTCTGTTTATTGCTTCTTATCTGGACTTTGTTTAATGGTTGCTCTTCGTTTCTTAACTTTCGACAACACTTTTGCAGCAGTCTTTTATCTTCTTAAAAAATCAGCAGCACGGGTTGGGGGGCTGTCGTCTAATTGTTGTAACAACTTTAACAGTTATCCTTCTGACATGAAGGGGTGCATGTGACGGTTGTATTGTATGTGTGATATTATCACCCCTTAATTACATTGTTATGATTTTCATATAGTAAGAGTGAAGAGAAAGAGTGAGGTCTTGGGAAATACTGTAAGAGGGTGTACAAGAGTTTCAGATTTGGGTTATGGAGAGATTTTCCACAGTAAAAAGGGCCTCGTTATTTTTAGAGTAAATGCCATTTTGCGAAACAAACAGCTAGTACAAGTTATTGTAGTTCAAACAATGGCAAGAAAATGGCAAAGTTGCCATCGAGTACAAATTGTGTGGAACCGAAATTTAGATTACTCGTCACTAGAATACAAATCACAATTAAACAGAATAAAATAAATAAAAAATAAAGATGCCGAAATCTTTCCGAAGTTCGACCAAATTGGGATTTACCTGTATATTTGTTGTCTATACGTGTCGTGTTACAACAATTGAAGTTCAACTTGTATTGGTGTTGTGGTGCGGAAGTCTTCAAAGAGAAGACATGATTTGATAACCACACGCAAAGTTGGAAGCAGGTACTGACTTTGTGGTTTTGCATACAATTGTCATGCATTGAATTGCAAGCAAACTCAGAAAGTCAAGACCTGCTTCAACTTCACTCGTGGCAGTCAAATCCAGAAAGTTAAGACACGCTTCCAACTTTATACACGTGAGTACTCCTTGACGCATTCAAGGGTTTGCAAAATGTAAATTAATGTCCCGCCATGGTTGTTTGCCAAGTTTTTCAATTTGGGAGTTTGCAATCTGATAATATCTTTTACGCTTGTTTTGTGTCTAAGATTGGATTAGATTCAAGCTCAAACGAAGGTCTTTGAATGATTTTTCAGTTTTAAGGAATTAGAAGGGGTCAGATTAGGCTTGAAAGAAACTTATTTCATTTTAGTCCCCAACCATTCTTTGTGAATTGAAAGTGATGAGTTTTCTTAATGAGTAACTCCTCTTCTAATTTCACTCTAAACCGGTTACTGTAATTTGCATGCATTCAGTTAGGGTCATATCTTTTGTTTTCTTGCATACCATGTATGCCACTAAATACTATTAAAATGGGACCAACATAATAATATAGATTAAAATCGTAATTTACATGAGTGAAACCTAAAACGTGTTACCTCTAAATAAGAAGGAATAAGAAGGAATATCAATGACTTTAGTTGCGTTTGCTGCCCTCTTTCGATTCCATGACCAACTAAGGTCTTCACTTTTGTTTCTTTCATGCAGTGCAAATTCTCTTCAAACGTCCAGATAATTCAAAGCTAGAAGAAAATTTGTTTCTTTCATGCCGCGTGTAAATTCTATTCAAACGGCCAGATAATTCAAAGCTAAAAGAAAAGTTGTAATAACAACAACAACAACAACAATAATAATAATAATCTAAACTACATATTAATAAAATATTCTTTGTCAATTGAAAGAGCACGAAAATAATGTTTAGTCTTCTATCAAAATAAAAAAGTTAAGAGCAGTCATGTAATTGCCCAACTCAAAATTTTGTTGATTTTTGTTTAAGTCTCCCCACTGCCACGTTCTCTCCTTCCTCTCTCCTACATTTAAAAAAAAATAATAAATAAATAAATAAATTCATGCACACTTTGTGTGTGTGTGTGAGTATATACTAATAATAATAACAACAACAATAACAACATAACCACACACACAAAAAATATAAATAAATAAAAATAAAAATTCAAAGCTGCATACCATTGCTTGCTCCTCTATATATATGGATGCAAACTTGTTACGGTAAGCAATATCTAAATTACAAAATGGCTCATGGCTTCTTCCTCCTCTTCTTATTCTCTGGCATTATTTCTACAACAAATATTCAAGCATGCAACCAAACTGAGCACACTTTTCTCCTGGCTTTCGCCCGCACTTTATCTTCTCCTCCCGTAAATTGGAGTAATTCTGTTGATTCTTGTCTTTGGAACGGCATCACTTGTAATGGGGAGGGTTGTGTTATTCACTTGCTCTTACCTTCCAACGGGCTCAAAGGAGGTATGTCTGTCTCATCACTTGGAAATCTCACATATCTCACCCGCTTGAACCTTTCCCACAATTCACTTTATGGCACACTTGAAACTAAATTCTTCTCGTCCTTGAAACATCTTGAGATAATTGATTTGAGCTATAACCTTCTTTCCGGAGAGATACCATTTTCTCTACCACCCAAAAATATTCAAACAATAGATTTGTCAAGCAATCACTTCCATGGTAAAATTACATCTTCTTTCTTTCAACAAGCTTGGAATTTGACTAGTTTCAATGTCAGCAACAACACCTTCTCTGGGTATATCCCATCATCCATTTGTCTCCGATCATCTCCTTCCATAAGAATATTGGATTTTTCCTCCAATGAATTTAGTGGCAACATTTCTTGTGGGCTTGGGAGGTGTTCCAAGCTACAGATTCTTCGTGCTGGTCACAATAATTTGTCAGGATCACTTCCAGAAGATATCTATAATGCTACCAAACTTGAGGAACTTGCATTACCTCTCAATTCACTAAATGGAGTCATTAGTGAAAAAATTGCCAACCTTGTCAACCTCACAATCTTTGACCTCTACTTAAATCATCTGAGAGGTGTCATCCCTCTCAATTTTGGAAAGCTCTCCAAGTTGAAATTCATGAATCTTGATTTCAACAGCTTACAAGGTCATTTGCCCCCGTCTTTGAACAATTGCACAAAACTCGTAGAACTAAATTTGGCATTCAACTACTTGGAAGGAAAGCTCACCGTGATTAATTTTTCCAAACTTAGCCACCTTAGTAAACTGGATCTATCTTGGAATAACTTCACTGGTACCTTGCCGATAAGCCTTTACTCATGCAGGTATCTAAAAGCAGTTCGGTTGAGTGGTAATCCAAACCTAGAAGGACAAATACAACCTAAGATTCTTTCATTGAAATCCTTGTCTTTTCTCTCGCTTAGTTTTGTACGATTGACCAATCTCACAGGGACAATGAAGATATTTATGTGTTCCAAAAGTCTTCAGACACTCATCATGGGTTATTCATTCAACCACGAGGCAATGCCAACTAATGATGACATGGTTAATTTTCATGGATTTCAGAATCTTCGTGTTTTGAGTTTGGTTGGTTGTGGGCTTACTGGTCAGATACCTAGGTGGTTATCAAACCTAAAAAATCTAGGGGTGCTGGCTCTGGGTAATAATCAAATCACAGGGCCAATTCCAAGTTGGTTGGGGACTCTTCCAAAACTCTTTTATGTGGATCTATCATCCAACCAAATTTCAGGTGACTTTCCTAAACAACTTTGTAGATTACCAATGTTAATGGGGAATGCATCTCGAGTGGACGATTATGAATTTGAACTTCCAATCTTCAGCGGCCTAAATAAAAAACTATTTTTGTATTTTGCGCCGCGTAGACTATCTAACTTTCCTGGATTAATATATATAAGGGCCAATAACATTAGTGGAAGTATACCTGCTGAGATCGGCCAATTGCAACTTCTTCGTCAGTTGTATCTTGATGACAATAACTTTTCTGGCGAAGTTCTAGACCAAATATCTAGCCTAAAATATTTAGAGCATTTGGACCTCTCTGGAAATCATTTGTCTGGAAAAATCCCCTGGTCAATGACGAGTCTTAATTTCTTGAGAGTATTTAATGTCTCATACAATGATCTTCAAGGACAAATACCGACAAGTACACAGCTCCAAAGCTTTGACTCTTCTGCATTTGAAGGGAACCCTAGACTTTGTGGTGCTCCACTTCCGAATAAGTGTGGAGAAATTGATGTGAATAGTAAGAACAATGTCGACCAAGATGTGGACAATGAACATGATGAGCTTCCCTGGTTTTATATCTTTGCAGTCCTAGGTTTTATTGTCGGATTTTGGGGAGTTTGCGGTTCTTTAGCTCTTAAGAAGACATGGAGGTACACATATTTTTGTTTCCTTGATAATGTACAAGATACACTCTATTTGAAGATGACAATGTGTATGGCGAGGATGAAAAGAAGACGTAGGGACTAGATTTTACTTGTTATTATATATTTTTCATTTTCAATAAAACTATTTGGATACACAAAATTAACACAAGTGGTGACACACTCTCGAATAAAGATGGGCTTTACTATTGTCAAGGGACCGCATCTGTATTGGAGAGTGTGTGAACAAATGTGTTAAATTTTTGTATATCTAAATTGTATGACTCTTTCAGATTTTATTTGTTTTTTTTTTCCCCATCTCGATGTAAGGATTGTTCTACTATATAATAGTACAATAAAACTATAAGACAAATGGGAAAATAGGGAGAGAAATAGAGACTTGATTCGAAGAGAAATGGTGAAGCCCTAAATCGAGCTGCTTGGTGCAGAGAATAGTGAGGCGAGGAAGAAGACGGGGAGAGGAGTCAAGCAGAGAAACAGTGGGCCTAGAGTCTGAAACGGTGTGAGAAGAAAGGACAAAGTTGAAATAACAAAAAAGAAGTAGGGGTGAAAATGGAATAACACTGTTAATGAAAAGTATTTTTTGTGTTGAGGTTTAGTATACGTATAATTTATAGCATTTTATTGAGCTAACATGCCCTACGAACAAATAATTCAAATGTTGTCCCGATCCGCACAGCTTACACAACCTAACTTCAATAACTCCTTGGGTTTCTCATATTTTCGCTGTAAATTCATGTTCTATTCACAAATTATATTTTCTAGAAAAATCGTACAGAACACATTAAACTTAATAATTTAACACAAATTTACGATTAAATAATACGTAGAAGAGGTATAAAATATTTACAAAATGTCAACCTAACAATCATATACGTTGAATTATTGTCACTCGCACATTCTTTGTAGCTTATCCAGGTTGTTGTTTTGCTCAGTGCACCATTCCCACATTGTTTGGGCAATTGTGCAAGTGACAGGACTAAGTACATACGAGGAGTTAGTGTGGTAACTGTACAAAGGTCAAAGAGCTTGGAGCCAATAGGTTACCCTTCCACCATTCCTTGTATTATTTTTGGAGAGTCTATTTTGGGAGCCTACGAGCATGTTATTGACACACCCCGACCTGGGAAGGTCAAAGCATGTTGGCCATCACCGTGAGGTGACGTAACCATAAGGGTAAGTGATGTGAAAAAGTGAATAAATTTAAACTAATTGAACTAATTATACCAAGCAGTGAAAGAGTGCGCAAGTCATGGGAATAACCCACTACAATTATTCAGAGCTTAAAAGACAGTACGACTACCAAATAGTAGTCAAAGTAGCTAAAGTACATTTATTACACAACAGTGATAAGTTCGTATGCCTAAACTAAATGTCATAATTGCCGAGATTCCTCAAGTGCCACAAAGAGTACAGCTATCTAGGTCTTGGAGGGGCGAAAAACAAAGTTGAGTGGGTCAACAAAACAATGGTTATAAGAACACCTTTCTCACTGTAAAACAAGTATAGTTTTCTTAAAACATACTACATAGGTATGTAAACAACAATAACAACAATATAACCAGAAATATGCCAAGTCATAAGATATCAAATGCCACAGTAATATAATCATGTGATAATCAAGTACAACTAAGTGCTCATCTATCTAAGCTGACACATGAGTTCGAATAGATAATCTTTGACACGAACAGGACTGGGTGTAATCAATACGCTCTAGTACTACGATCACGTGAAGGCTAGTGCAGAAGCACGGTCACATACAAGTCGGATTGCCTAACGCAATCTACCTGACAAGACTGGCAATTATAAGCGTAAAAATGAAGTAAATATGCATTTAAGGAAACTATAACTATGTATAGGAATTAAAAAAAATAAAAAAATAATAAAAAAAAATAATAAAAAAACAAACTACCACTCACAAGTATGTCGCTGGATAATAGCCCCTGAGCCTAGCCTGGCCCCGTAAGTCCTCAGGATACGTTTCCCTTATATGTGAAATAACTATATTATAATTAATTAAAGCACATATATGGAAACCTAAATAAAACTCTCATAGTTTGCTCAAACCTAGGGTTTAATACATGAAATCGATCTACTCGACATCATGAACGTCCCTAAATTTTTAGAAATAATTTTGGACCTTGCACGTGCCCCCACGTGCCGGCCAAAGCAAGGCTAGACGTGCCTTTACACGCGGCTTAACCCTAATAGAAGCCTAACGGCCATTAGGAATATTCCGTTAAGTCCTTAACAGATGTTAACTGTGTTACCTGACACCGTTAGAATATTCCGTCAACTTTGATAGAATATTCTCCTTCTTTTCCGACGAGCCCCATCGTCTGCCGCTGTCCTTCGCCGCCTACGCCGCCATCTGCAACCAAATCTCGTTGGTTTCTGGAAAATTTTCAAACTTGCATAACTTTTTCATTTTTCAACCATTTTCGACCTACTTTATATGAGTTTGAAGCTTATGAAGAGTAGAATCGCATTATACCTATTTGGAGTCCAAAAAGTGAATAGAGGTTGTCAGAAATCACCTCGAAAGTTTCGGACGAAAACGAACTCTTCGAAACTCGATCAGTTTCATTTCCAAACTTCTTCCAAATTGTTGAAGGAGCCTCGAGGAGTTATGTAGGAGTTTCCCCAAGCTTCAAAACTTCCTAACTCGCTCAAAAATATGTCGAACTCAAATCGTCCGAGTTCAGACCTTCCAAGTTAACGAGTCAAATCTCGTCTAAACTGAGTTCTAAGGGAATGGTTGTGCACGTGGAAGTGAGAAGAGCATGAAAATGAGATTCTTGGGTTCGATCTGTGACCTTTGAAGCTTATAAAGGGTTGATGCAGAGGGATGGTATACGGGAATGAGAGAGAAGGAAGAGAAAGAGAGAGTTCATTTTTTTTTAATTTTTGATTGGGTACCGTGTAGAGGGAAATGATGGGATTGGTGGGAGGTTTGAGGGAGTTGATTGGTGAGTGACACAAAGGGAAGGGCACGGGTAGGATAAATAGGAAACTAGGGATAAGTTTTCTAATTTTCTACAGTAAGAGGAAATCGAAATCTATCTGTAACAGTGTTTTCACACTGATAAAAATTCACGTACACTCGTAACAATGTGTACAAAATAATTACGGAAGTGAGAATATAAAGTAAGAGAGAAATAAACATGTCTATGCCACTTGCCTCTAAGGGCATAATAAACAATTCACAAGTCAGGGTAGAAATTACATAGGAAAATTAGGGATAGGTCGTCACAATCTACCCCCTTAAGAAAATTTTGTCCTCAAAATTTCAATACTGAATGCAATCAAAACCATAGAACATACATGGGTACATATCTCGCATGCACTTTTCTGTCTCCCAAGTAGTTTCTTCGACTGTGTGGTTTCTCCACAAAACTTTCACCATCTGTACAATCTTATTCCTAAGAACCTTATCCTTCAAATTGAGGATAGTTACTCGGACCTCATCGTAGGTCAAATCTGGATTGATCTCCAATGGTTGAGGAGGGATTACATGTAACAGATCAGAGACGTATCTCCATAGCATCGACACATGAAACACGTTATGCACTCTCGCTAACTCTGGCCGCAAAGCGAGTCGATAAGCAACTTCACCAACTCATTCAACAATTTGGTACGGTCCAATGTACCTAGGGCTGATCTTCCCTTTCTTTTCGAATCACACAACACATTTCCACGACGATAATTTCAAGAATACCCAATCACTAACCTTATAAGCTCTGTCAGTGGAATGTCTGTCGGCAATACTCTTCTGTCGATCCTGGGCCACTTTCAGGTTAGTCTTTATCACCTGAATGTTTTGTGTAATCTCATCCACGATCTCAGGGCCCACCAAAACTCGTTCACCAACCTCAAACCAACATAGTGGAGCACGACATGGTTTCCAATACAATGCTTCAAATGGTGCCATACCAATACTAGAATGGAAACTATTATTATAGGTGAACTTTATCAACGGTAAGCGTTTGTGCCAAGCGTCTCCAAACTGGAGGACCGATGATCTCAACATATCTTCCAAAGTCTGGATAGTTCTCTCTGACTACCCATCAGTTTGAGGATGATAGGCGGTGCTGTAGAGTAATCTCGATCCTAAAGCTTCTTGAAAAGCTACCTATAACTTCGAAGTAAATCGGGGATCCCGGTCATAAATGATATTAACTAGAACTTCATGGTACTTAACAACTTCAGAGATAAACTGTTCGGCCAACTGACTCAGTGAATAATTCTCACGAACATGTATGAAGTGTGCTGACTTGGTAAGTCGATCTACTATTACCCAGATACCATTATAACCATTTCGTGTACGAGGTAATTTGTACATGAAATCCATCGTAATATCTTCTCATTTCCACTAGAGTATTGGGAGTGATTGTAGCAATCCAAATGGCTTTTTCCTTTTCACCTTAATCTGCTGGCAAACTGTATAACGACTAACATACTCTGCAATTTCTCTTTTCATACCTGGCCAATAATAGACATGGTATGATACATCTTAGTACTCCTGGGATGCATCGCATAAGTAGAAATATGTGCTTCATCCAATATGTCTCTCTTTAGTTCCTCAACATTTGGCACAAACATTCGATCACCTTGCATTAACATGCCATTAGGATCTCTAATCCTGAGGTCTTTCTTTTCCCATTTGACATTGCCTGTATCAATTCCTGAGATTTTGTATCGTTCCTTTGGGCTTCGAGGACACAATCTAATAGAACTGGCATGACCTGAAAACTGGCAATTAGGGCTCCACGTCGCTCCACTTCCAAAGCTACTCTAGTGGATCTTAGATCAGTCAAAAAAGGAATGCGACTTGCATAAAGAACATTAAGTCGGGCATAAGACTTCCTATAAGAGCATCAACTACAGAATTAGCACGACCTAAGTGATACTCAATGGTGCAGTCATAATCACTTAGCAGCTCTACCCACCTCTGTTGCCGGAGATTAAGATCTAGTTGAGTGAAGATATATTTAAACCTCTTATGATCAGTGAAGATCTTACACTTTTGCCCATAAAGATAATCCTTCCAAATTTCAAAGCAAAGATAATAGCCGTCAACTCGAGATCATGAGTAGGATAGTTCATCTCATGGGGCTTTAACTGCCGTGATGCATAAGCAATCACCTTTTCATGCTGCATTAACACACACCCAAGACCATTTAGAGATGCATCACTGTAGATCTCGAAGTTCCCACCGTCATCGAGAAGTGCTAAGACAGGTGCGTGAGTGAAAAGGTACTTCAACTGTTGGAAACTCTGCTCACACTCTTCACTCCACACAAACGGAACTTCTTTTCTAGTCAACTTTGTCAAGGATAGTGTTATAGTTGAAAAGTCCTTCACGAAGCGTCGATAATAACCAGCAAGACCAAGAGAAAGCTTCGTACTTCAGTAACTGTTTGAGGTTGTTCCTAATTCTCCACGGCCGCTACTTTCTGAGGATGCACATGCACACCTTGAGCTGATATCACGTGCCCTAAAAATGACACATGATCCAACCAAAATTGACATTTGCTAAACTTGGCGTACATCTGATTTGCCCTTAGTGTCTTTAGAACCAAACGTAGATGCCTAGCATGATCAATCTCGTTCTTAGAATACACCAAAATATCATCTATGAAAACAATGACAAACCTGTCGAGGTATGGA